CAAATAATATCAGTGGGACACGTTAAAGTGTTACAGCAAAATTACTTAAGTTGCTAAACCCTATTTGGCAGTAACAGTAAAACTCAAATAATATCAATAAGACATGTTAAAGTGTTACAGCAAAATTACTTAAGTTGCTCAACCCTATTTGGCAGTAACAGTAAAACTCAAGTAATATCAATAAGACATGTTAAAGTGTTACAGCAAAATTACTTAAGTTGCTAAACCCTATTTGGCAGTAACAGTAAAACTCAAGTAATATCAATAAGACATGTTAAAGTGTTTCAGCAAAATTACTTAAGTTGCTAAGCCCTATTTGGCAGTAACAGTAAAACTCAAATAATATCAATAGGGCATGTTAAAGTGTTTGATCGCACACTAACTAAAACTTAACTATTATAACCAGAATAGTTGAATTAAAAAATAAAAATATAGCTCATGAAACAAATACAATTCTTGGACTGCCAGCACTGGTAGAGCATAATATCACACACACACACACTAGCTCAAACTTAACCCTTCCATTAACCAATGTGATTACAAAATAATATTACATACTAGCTCAAATAACAAATTTAAAAATAACTATGCATAACGAGCATGTTAAACATTATAACAAAGGTAAAAATAACAATGTAGAACAAGCAAGATAAACAGTAAAACAAAAGTTAAAATAACAATGTAAAACGAGCATGTCAAACAGTACAACAAAGGTTAAAATAACAATGCATAATAAGCATGTTAAATAGAACAACAAAAGTTAAAATAACAATGTAAAACGAGCATGTCAAACAGTACAACAAAGGTTAAAATAACAATGCATAATAAGCACGTTAAACAGTACAACAAAGGTTAAAATAACAATGCATAACAAGCATGTTAAATAGTACAACAAAGGTTAAAATAGCAATGTATAACGAGCATGTTAAACAATACAACAAAGGTTAAAATAGCAATGTATAACAAGCATGTTAAACAGTACAACAAAGGTTAAAATAGCAATGTATAACGAGCATGTTAAACAGTACAACAAAGGTTAAAATAGCAATGTGTAACGAGCATGTTAAACAATACAACAAAGGTTAAAATAGCAATGTATAACAAGCATGTCAAACAGTACAACAAAGGTTAAAATAACAATGCATAATAAGCATGTTAAATAGTACAACAAAGGTAAAAATAGCAATGCATAACAAGCATGTTAAATAGTACAACAAAGGTTAAAATAGCAATGTATAACGAGCATGTTAAACAGTACAACAAAGGTTAAAATAGCAATGTATAACGAGCATGTTAAACAATACAACAAAGGTAAATATGAGGAAACCTGCAACGATTTTAAAATGTTAACCTTGGTAGAAATTAATGTTCATTACTCAGGATCATCCATCGTGTTCGTAAGATGTTGTCTTTTTTATGTATTATTTTATAGTGCTAACAAAAAAGTATGCACTATAGACTATTCAACTAAATAACGTGCATCAACATATGACTAAGATTACTTCTTTATATTCGTTTGCAAAGTACCTCTT